GTCAGGAGTTTGAGACCAGCCTGGCCAACATGGTGAAACCCCAACTCTACTAAAAATACAAAAATTAGCCAGGCATGGTGGTGGGCACCTGTAATCCCAGCTACTTAGGAGGCTGCGGCAGGAGAATTGCTTGAACCTGGTAAGTGGAAGTAGCAGTGAGCCAAGATTGCACCACTGCACTCCAGCCTGGGTGAAAAGTGAGACTTTGTCATAAATAAAATAAAATAAAAAAGAGAGATCTGAGCTTTTACCCAGGAGCGAAACTTTGGATCGACCTCAGTAGGTTAGGGATATTACTTATATTACTTACACTTTTGAAGGAAGCTGCAAATTCAGCAACACCTGGTACTAAAAGAAAAACAAAACAATATTTATTCAATAAGTATGATTGCTCAGGCATAGAAGATCCAAATAATAAGAAAATAAGAAAACAGCTTTGTCTGTTTTCTTATAGTTTAGAACAAGAGAAAGAATAAACCAATAACTATAATACTGTTTCAGTCCTCAAAGAAAGATGCCAGGGCTATGGGAAGACAAAAATGGAAAGCTAAGTCAGACCCAGGGGGCATAAAAAGCTTCTCAAGGAAAATAATGCCTCAACTGAACTTGGAAGGACCAGGAGTTAGCTGGTTGGGAGGGTGGTAAGATACAGTATCTCTTACCAGAAACTTTAAACTGCCTTTTTAGAGATGCTATTCTGTCAATCCAATTTTATTTAAGTTTCTCACAGAAAGAATCACATTAAAAGGCAGAAAAATAAAAATCAGGGCTGGGCATTTTGGGAAGCCAAGGCAGGAGGATAACTTGAAGATCAGCCTGGGCAACAAGGCAAGACTCCAGACTCTACAAAAAATTAAAAAACTGGGCCAGGTGCGGTGGCTCATGCCTGTAATCCCAGCACTTAGGGAGGCTGAAGCAGGTGAATCACTCGAGCTCAGGAGTTGGAGACCAGCCTGGGCAATATAGTGAAACCCCATCTCTACAAAAAATACAAAACTTAGCCAGGCATAGTGACATGCACCCCAGTCCTAGCTACTTGGAAGGCTTCAGCCCAGGAAGTTGAGGCTGCAGTGAGCCATGATCACACCACTGCACTCCAACCTGGGCAACAGAGCAAGACCCTGTCCGCAAAAAACCCAAAAAACAAAACACAAAAAAACAGTTAGTTGGGCATGGTAATGCACACCTATAGTCCCAGCTACTCAGGACGCTGAGGCAGGAGGATGGCTTGAACTCAGAAGTTGGAGGCTGCAGTAAGCTATCATTGTGACATTGCACTTTAGCCTGGGTGATAGAATGAGACTCTGTCTCTAAAAAAATAAATAATTAAAATAAGATCTTTGCCTGAGCTCAGGAGTTCGAGACCAGTCTGGACAACACAGTGAAACCCCGTCTCTACTAAAATACAAAAGATTAGCCAGGTGTGGCAGCATGCACCTATAGTCCCGGCTACTTGTGAGGCTGAGGCAGGAGAATTGCTTGAACCCGGGAGGTAGAAGTTGCTGTGAGCTGAGATCGCCCCACTGCACTCCAACCTGGGCAACAGAGCGAGACTCTGTCTCAAAAAAAAAAAAAAAAAAAAAAAAAAGTTCAATCTCACCAAAAAGGAAATGCAAAATGAAAGTAATAGATTAATAACATCTAATACTGGCTAGAATGTGAGGAAAGGGGCCCTCATACAGTTATTCTCTTCCATGTATACAAAGATATGTATACCTGAGTATTCACTGATAAACTATCGGTAAAATCAAAAACTAGATATAGGCTGGGCACAGTGCCTCACACCTGTAATCCTAGCACTCTGGGAAGCCAAGGTGGAAAGACAGCCTGAGGCCAGGAGTCCAAGACCAGTCTGGGCAACACGGTGAGACCCTGTCCCCCCCAAAAAATTTTTTTAAATAGCTGGTTGTGGTGGTGCATGCCTGTGGTCCCAGCTACTCAGGAGGCTGAACTGAGAGGATCACTTGAGCCCAGGAGGTTGAGGCTGTAGTCAGCTGTGATAATGCCACTGCACAAAGCCTGGGTGACAGTGAGACCCTGGCTCAAATTAAAACAACAACAACAACAAAAAAACTAGATATAACTGAAGTTTCCAAATAATGTATGAATATATAAACTATAATATATCCATACAATGAAATGAAGTAGATATACACATACCAAGATGGAACTGTTCATATGTGGAGTAAGTTAAGTGGCAGGCCACATGTATAACTCCATCATTATGAACAAAAAAAATCCCTCTTATATATACTTTAAAAATTATTATTTCCTTATCTGTATAAGTATAAAACAGGTCAAAAGGATGTCTACCTTTTTTTTTTTTTTTGAGACAGAGCTTCACTCTTTGTTGCTCAACCTGGAGTGCAATGGAGTGATCTCAGCTCACTGCAACCTCCGCTCACTGCAACCTCCACCTTCCAGGTTCAAGCGATTCTCCTGCCTCAGTCTCCCAAATAGCTGGGATTACAGGCATGTGCCACCACGCCCAGATAATTTTTTGTATTTTTAGTAGAAACTGGGTTTCACCATGTTAGCCAGGCTGATCTCAAACTCCTGATGTCAGGTAATCCGCCCACCTCGGCCTCTCAATGTGCTTGGATTATAGGCATGAGCCACCACACCTGGCCGGAGTTGTACCTTTTACAAGGATTTGTGCGATTAAAAGTGATTAACTTTGTAAGAGTGGGCCAGGTGCAGTGGTTCAGGCCTCTAATACCAGCACTCTGGGAGGTCAAGGCAGGCAGATCATCTGAGGTCAGGAGTTTGAGACCAACGTGGCCAACATGGTGAAACCCCATCTCTACTAAAAACACAAAAAATTAGCCGGGCGTGGTGGCACGCACCTGTAGTCCCAGCTACCTGGGAGGCTGAGGCAGGAGAATCACTTGAATCCTGAGGCAGAGGATGCAGTGACCTGAGTGCACCACTGCACTCTACCCTGGGAGACAGAGAGAGACTCTGGTTCAAACAAAACAATTATTATTGCTTAAAGGCTCCTTATTTTCTGAGTTACACTGTGTTCTGAAAAAATTAAAACACCAAACAGCTATTCTTGACACTGGACTTCAGTCTCTTCTCTTTGAAATAAAATAAAACTTTAATCATTAAAGTTAAATGATAACTCTTCAGGCTGGTCTGATGGTAGTGGGTTATCAGAACTTTTTTTTTTTTTTTTTTTTGAGACAAAGTCTCACTCTGTCACCCAGGCTGAAGTGCAGTGGCACGATCTCTGCTCACCGCAGCCTCCGCCTCTTGAGTTCAAAAGATTCTCATGCCTCAGCCTCCTGAGTAGCTGGGATTACAGGCGTGTGCCACCACATCCAGCTAATATTTCTATTTTTTTTTTTAGTAGAGACAGGGTTTCGCT